CACGCGCCTGGCCCTAATTCTTTTAGGTGGTATTGTAAATGGTATTACTGTTTTAATTTCCCTTTCAGGTTGTTCGTCACTAGTGTATAAAAACACAACTGATAATGTTCTCATTTTTGGAAGGGAAGAAACTGAGGCTCAGAATAAGTTGTCAAAGGTACATGGTTAGTAAGGCCCAACTCAGGGCTCTAATTCCAAATCTACTATGCTGTCTCTCTGAGGAGCTTGTTTATTGGGCCCTTTACCATTTTGCCCTTTCCTTTTGACTCAATGCTCTTAACTGCAAAATAGGGAGCACTGGGAAAAAAAAGAACTGGAGCACAGCTGGGCACAGTGGCTCATGCTTATAATCCCAGCACTTTGGGAGGCCGAGGTGGGCAGATCACCTGAGTTCAGGAGTTGGAGTGCAGCCTGGCCAACATGGAGAAACCCTGTCTCTCCTATAGCCGGGTGTGGTGGCACATGCCTGTAATCCCAGCTGCTTGGGAGGCTGAGGCAGGAGAATCACTTGAACTTGGGAGACGGAGGTTGCAGTGAGCCAAGATTGTACCACTGCACTCCAGCCTGGGCAACAGAGTGAGACTCCATCTCAAAAACAAGACAAAACAAAAACAAAAAACTGGAGCACTGCAACAGTTATGCTCCCAATTTGGCCAGTGTAACAACTGAACCATAGGAGGCAGCCATGGTCTCAGGGATACCCATGGATAGCCCATAGTGACGTTCACATCAACCCTCTTTGACTGGAGGGCCCACAGGCAAATAGCAGTTAACATTGAATGTGTGACCTCAAAATACTTGATGAGAATGACTCAGAAATCAAGAAGCTACTTGTAACAGATCAAGTACTGAAATGCATTGTCAAGACAGGACAGCCTCTCATCCCTGACAAAAAGTCTGTGTTAGGACATGCAGTTGGGGCTAAGACTCTTGAGGAACTGGGTGGGGCACGGCTCAGGCTTGGGAGAGAAGCACTTCGAAGGCTGCCACCAGGCTGGAGACCTGAATGTGCCAAGTCACTCTGCGGAGCCTAACAGACACTGGCAGTCTTGCTATGTCTACAGGAGGGAATGCGTGAACTTTCTCCAGGAACCTGAATACCATTCATGAACTACTGGGAAATTCTGTCTCCCCAGTCCCCACTGAACATTTTCCTTCTCTAAAATGACAGGATTCCTGAATCTCTTTCTACTTTCTTCCTTATCTAGGAGCTAGCACATCGCTGCAGCTGTCACTAATGGGAACCTGACCTGGTAGCTGTGGACAGTACTAGGAGCGTTTTCTTAGTCTGGCTTCCTGCTACCGTTTGCTAGACCAGCAGCATTCCCACAAAGGATTAGTGAAGTGTGGTGAATAGGAGCACGCGTGTGCATGAGTGTACATGCACACACACATGCATACACAGAGAGAGCATTGAGAACTTAGAGTATATTCTCTCCAACCCCCAACACCAGAAAGGAAGAGCATTCTGGCTGGAAGATAGTGTCTCAGGATAGCCTCCATTTGCCTCTTCTATCTCCAGTGTGAAGGCATTCTATTCCCACAATGCAAATCTTCCTCACACTTCCCGAGAAAGCTCAGACAAGACATGGGAGAGCCTATATCCTTGAAGAATTACTTACTGATGTTTTGGGGTGGGCAAGTAAGGGCCACCTGAACACATGTGTAAGTTCTTTCCTAATACGTGAAATAGTAAGGGAATCCCACGGGGCTTCACGACTGACACAGTAACAACCAGATATTTTACTCTTGCTCACTCAGGAAGGTAAAGAGAAAAGCAAAAACAAGCAAAAAGAAACACACACACACACACACACACACACACACACACAGAAAATAAGTGCAGATAGTTCACAAAGCAAAGCATCAGGTGAGTCATCAGACTCCAAGGCAACTTTCTCTACAGGCTGGACTTGGACACGTTATAGTAGCCATTTTATTACATCACAGAAAGAAATAACTGAAGTAGGTCATAACATTTCCAGTTATTTTTCCAGTAGGAATATTATGCCCTGATGACATAGTCTATTTTCACTTCTTCCATAAATCGCCGGTGACTTCCCTTAAAGTGGCCCCTGGTCTCCAGCCTCTTGCCCTTCATGCCATCCTCATGCTGCCTTATGTATTAGTCTGTTCTCTCATTGCTCTGAAGAAACACCTGAGACTGGTGAGGCGCAGTGGCTCACACCTGTAATCCCAGCGCTTTGGAAGGCTAAGGTGGGTGGATCACTTGAGGTCAGAAATTTGAGACCAGCTGGGGAAACATGGCGAAAAGCTGTCTCTACTAAAAATGCAAAAATTAGCCTGGTGTGGTGGTGCGTGTCTGTAATCCCAGCTACTCGGAAGGCAAAGGCAGGAGAACTGTTTGAACCTGGGAGCTGGGGGTTGCAGTGAGCTGAGATTGCACCACTGTGCTCCAGCCTGGGTGACAGAGCATGACTCTGTCTGAAAAAAAAGAAAAATGAAAAAAGAAATACCTGAGACTGGGTAATTTATATATATATAAAGAAAGAGGTTTAAGTGGCTCATGGTTCAGCAGGCCATACAGGAAGCATAGCAGCTTCTGCTTCTGGAGAGGCCTCAGGAAACTTCTAATCATGGTGGAAGGCAAAGGGGCAGTGAGACATCTTACACGGCTGGAGCAGGAGGAAGAAGGGGGAGAGATCCCACACCCTTTAAGTCATCCTCCTGAGAACTCACTGTCATGAGAACAGCACCAAGAGGATGGCACTAAACCATTCATGAGAAACTGCTTCCACGATCCAGTCACCTCCCACAGGACTCACCTCCAACCCTGGGGTTACAATTCAACATGAGATCTGGTGAGGACACAGATCCAAACACATCACCTTATTAACAAGTCAAGATTAATATCATTCCCCTAGTCAAAACTTTAGTTTCCTTACCACCAAGAGCATTGACCCTTAATTCTGTGTGTTATTTGAGGCTTCGTACCAATCAGTTTCCCTACTTATCTTATTCCCTATGTCCTGATTCTAACTCCTACTTAACACTTTAGTCCTGGATTCAAAACCCACCTCCAACACTTCTTTTTTTTTGAGATGGAGTCTTGCTCTGTTGCCTAGGCTGAAGTGCAGTGGCACAATCTCGGCTCACTGCAAACTTTGCCTCCCAGATTCAAGCGATTCTCCTGCCTCAGCCTCCCACGTAAGCTGGGCCTACAGGCACCCACCACCATGCCCGGCTAATTTTTGGATTTTTGGTAGAGACGGGGTTTCACTATGTTGGCCAGGCTGGTCTTGAACTCCTGACCTCATGATCCACCCACCTCAGCCTCCCAAAGTGCTGGGATTACAGGCATGAGCCCCTGTGCTCTGCCATCCTCCACTTCTATTCATGCTGACCTCTGTCCTGTATTACTATAGCATACTCACAGTAGGCCTTATTTTGGCAGCTTATGTATCAAGTGATTAATGTGTATGCCCAAGTGAACTAGATGTTTTGTGGACACAAAGAAAATAAGACAAAGTCCCTGACCTGGAGGAGGAAATGTTGCTGTTTTGTTTGCTGTCATGTTTCTCGAGGGCAAGCCCTATCTCCACAGGAAAATGCAAGTCTTCAAGTTCTTCCAGGATGTCTCCATGCTATGTACATGCTGGAATTTCAGAAAGGCTTGCTAAATTGAATTAAATTCTCCCTTTCTCTCTTTTTCTCTAGGGCTCTCTTTCCAACTAAGGATTTAGTTGAAGTGCAGTAGCTAATACACACTTAAACTGTCCAAAGTAACAGAACTAGTCCACTACAGCTAGGCCATGAGTGAGTCTTCCACAAGTAAGAAAGGAAAACCCACCCTGCTGTGCTGCCCAATCAGCAAAAAGGAAAAAAGTAGCTTAGTGCTTGGGAGGCCAAGGCGGCTGATCATGAGGTCAGGAGTTTGAGACCAGCCTAGCCAACATGGCGAAAACCCGCCTCAACTAAAAATACAAAAATTAGCTGGGCATGGTGGCACGTGCCTGTAGTCCCAACTACTTGGGAGGCTGAGGCAGGACAATCGTGAACCTGGGAGGCAGAGGTTATGGTGAGCCGAGATCATGCCACTGCACTCCAGCCTGGGCAACAGAGAGAGACTCCTTCTTTTTTATTTTATTTATTTTTTTATAGAGATGGGGTTTCACCTTGTTGGTCAGGCTGATTTCGAACTCCTGACCTCAGGTGATCCACCCACCTCAGATTCCCAAAGTGCTGGGATTACAGGCGTGAGCCACCGCGCCTGGCCCAAGACTCCTTAAAAAAAGAAAAAGAAAAAGAAAAAAAAATTGCTCAATGCAAGTCCACTCTCCTGGCTGAAGCCTTGGTGGTTATACTGGGTTGTAGTTGGCTATGCAGGTGTAAACTGTTACAGTGGGAAATTAAGTGTGGCGACCAAAGGCGTGATGCGCAAAGGAGCAAGGAAAGGCAAAGGAGTGAGCAGCGTGGTGAAGAGGGGCAGCAGAAGCCTCCCAATAGCAGATGAGCGGCAGGGCCATCAAAGGACTGGTTTCCTTCTCACATAACCAAGGCCAGTCCCTGGGAACCACAGTTCAGACTTCACATATTTGTAGCAGTAAAGCCTTCATCCTGACAAGTTTATTTCCTAGACACCTGTTGCCACAGGTAACAGCAACCGGAGCAGCTGCTGGAAATGACTCTGAGGTCATCTCTCTCAAAGATCCCGAACTGGAAGGATTTGGAGAAGCGCAAACCCCAAACATAGCTTCTTATTCTTGGGGCCCCGGGATAAGTTGGAAAATCTAACCTGAAGCAGGAAAAACTGGCCGGACTGGAGAATGGGGCAGGGATGGAATAGAAGACCCCGTTGACTTCAGGCATCCCCTGTCTTTTCCACCCTAAGCCAGGAGAAAAGTCCGCTTCCTGCAGACGACCTCAGACCAAGCAAGGTCTCCGCCGAGTCTCTCCTTGCAGGTCTGGCCCACGATTTCCACCCATCTCTTTCTCCCCCGCGCGGGGCGGCGGCAGGCGGGGTCACCAGATACCCCCCCAGCCCGGGCCCCTCCGGGCGCGGGGGACGCAAAAGCTCGCGCTCCTCCTCTCCCGCCTCCCTTCTCCACCACTCCCCTCCTTCGGCCAGTCCCTCCCCCAGCCTCGGCGCAGGGGGGGCCGGGCTTGGCTCCGCGAGGCCCGTGCATTCCAGAGAGCCCAGCGAGCTAGAGCAACAAAGGAGCCGGGTTGTCGGCTGGGAGAGCTCGGGGGGCTGCGGCGCGCTCGGGCGAAGGTGGCTGCTGGGCCGCGGGCTGGCGCGGGGGCAAAGCCGGAGCCGCACTCCAACCCCGGCTCGCACCTGGCCTCCCTCGCGGGGCTGGGAGTTGGTTTTAATGGTGGGAGAGGCAATGGGGCTAGGGATTAAGGGTCCAGGGGGCTCCCAGGGCTGAAGACAAACTTGGACTGCGAGGCGAGGGCTTGGGGAGTTGTGCATCCCGGCCCGGCCTCCGCAGCCCAACATGGGCCCGGGTTTCCGAAGTTTGCGAAGTTGGGCGCCGAGGGGCCGGGGCGCGCGAAGCGTCCGGGGGGGCCCGCGCCCGGATTCTCTGGGCGCACAGGTCGCCTGAGCCGCCTCTGCGGCCGCCGGGGTCGTGCGTGTGGCCTGGGGGCTCCAAGGAGCGGGCGAGGGCGCCGGAGCTTTTGCTGAGTTGGCGGGGTTGGCCATGGCCGCTGCCCGCCCCGCGCGGGGGCCGGAGCTCCAGCTCCTGGGGCTGCTGCTGCTGCTGCTGCTGCTGCTGGGGGGCCCGGGTCGGGGGGCGGCCTCGAGTGGGAACGCGACCGGGCCTGGGCCGCGGAGCGCGGGCGGGAGCGCGAGGAGGAGCGCGGCGGTGACTGGCCCGCCGCCGCCGCTGAGCCACTGCGGCCGGGCTGCCTCCTGCGAGCCGCTGCGCTACAACGTGTGTCTGGGCTCGGTGCTGCCCTACGGGGCCACCTCCACGCTGCTGGCCGGAGACTCGGACTCCCAGGAGGAAGCGCACGGCAAGCTGGTGCTCTGGTCAGGTAAGTGTGCCGGAGCTGGGTCTGGGGGGCAGGGGGTGCCGCGGTGGGATGGGGGCATCCTTGGAAAGAATAGGCTCAGGCCTGAGCTTCGGAGAGGGCGGGGACAGCACCCGAGAGAGTTGGAGGGACAGAGTCCGAAACTTTGGGGGGCAGGTTTACGTGCAGGATGGGACCCTTGGTCATGGGGAAGCGAGGGCGAAGGAGGGCGAGGAAGTTGACGAAGCGAGTTACAAAGGGTCTGAGCTGGTGGGTGAGCAAAGGATGGCGGGGATGAGGGGCCCGTGAGGAGGGGGCTTAAGCGAAGGGAAAAGATATTTTGTAAGAAGAGATGCTCCACCTACTCTGGAAGCAGGGTGTCGGGGATTCCAGGAGGTGTTCAAGACCCTGGGGAAATTGGAGTTTGGACAGGAAAAGGAGAGGGATGACGGTGGAAAAGGTTTAGGCATTTGGAGGGAAGGGCAGGGGGACAAATCGAGTGAAGTTTTGAAGGAAAAGTAACTTCCCTAGTGATGAATTATTAAAAGGTAACCAGAAAGTTCTGGAAATCTTGATTTGGGAGACAGGAAGGAAGCCTAGAGAACTGTGATCTTGTCAGGCTCTCGCAGGAGATTTCATTCAGTTTGTGCATCTGAAAAATGGGCACTGTGATGCACGCAGGAGGTTGTGAAGGAATAAGACCTTTCTAACAATTATTTTTGTGTTTTTTGGAAATTTGGTTACCGAGGCTGGTTTGGGCTGTGGAGGGACGGTTCTGTGTTCCCAGAACCCCCTCACTGGAGGGGCAGAGTCGGAAAAGCTTCACACTGAACCCAAATGTCCTTCCTTAGCAGTGTGGAGTAGACTCTCTCCCCACCTGTCACTTTTCTAGATGAGGCCTAGAGTGTGCTGGGGAAGGGAGCTGGCCTTATCAGCCCTCACTTCTGGCCAGTGTGATTCTAAAACTGTCCTTGAAAAAGAAAAGAGAACCAGGAGCCAGGAGCAGACCTAGAGCCTCCTTCTTTTGACAGTTCTGGGGTACCCCATGTCTTAGCTCTGCCCAGGGTGCTGGTGAGGACACTCATGTAGGGAATGTATGTAGGCCACCTGTCATTGACAATCTGGCCACTAGAGTTCTCAGCCTTTGTCAGATGTTGGACAAGGTGATAAGGTTCCTGGCTCGGTTCAGGTGCTGGAGGAGGAACCTGAAGGATGGTATCCATGGTACCCATGAGGTGGAGCTGCATCCTTTGTGGGGATCAGGTTCTAAAGTCAGCACAGCACATTGGACAGAAACCATGTGTAATCAACAGTGGCTTTGAAAACTGCAGATTACTGTAATGTAAGGTCAATGAGGTTTTGCATATATACTCCTTTTATGATGTTTGCATAAATTTATTACATGTAGTGCACATGTATACTCATATATAAGAAGGGGTATAGATAGAAGATAATAATTGTAATTTTAAAGTTACATTCATGCAAAAGACTGAAAGAAAACGAATAATAATAAAAGAGGCTGGGCGCGCGGTGGCTCCTGCCTGTAATACCAGCATTTTGGGAGGCCAAGGCGGTCGTTTCAGGAGATCAGGAGACCGAGACCATCCGGGCTAATACAGTGAAACCCCATCTCTACGAAAAATACAAACAAATTAGCCAGGCATGGTGGCATCCGCCTGTAGTCCCAGCTACTCAGGAGACTGAGGCAGGAGAATCCATTGAACCCCGGCGGCAGAGGTTGCAGTGAGCTGAGATCATGCCTCTGCACTCCAGCCTGGGTGACAGAGTGAGATTCTGTCTCCAAAAACAAACAAGCAAACAAAAACACCAAAGTAAGATTAAGCAAGGTCGCTTTGAGCACTGCCTGAAATGAGACTTGAGTTTAGAAGCCAGCTGTATGGAAAGTCCAAATCTCTCAGCACTAGAATGTCACCCAGTTCTGAGTTGCTCTCAAAGGATAGTCTTTCTGTCCCTGTCTTTACTGAGTTTGCAGAGGCCCATGGTTTAATTCTCCCAAGTTAAATGCATGTTTTTGATGTGGCCTCTGTGTAGTTACCATCTGATCAAGGAGGAAGGGTATGAACCTCTTTCCAGCCCATCCTCTTGAGAGCAGCTGCTGAGCAGACAGAAGTAGCTTAAGCTGAACGTGTATGAGTTAAAACCATCTGCTGGTTGTGTAAGTTGAAATCTCACTAACTGTGCCTTTTGGCAGGGTAGGCTCCTACAGAGAGGCCAGCATGAGCCCAGTGCTGTTAGTTCCATTAGTTCACTGTGAGCTCTTCTCTGCTGCTAACCATCATCCCTCTGCTCATTCCTGTTTCCATATGTGTTCCAGTCACACTTTTTCTGCTTGGGTCTCTCAAGTGGGGCCAGAAGTAGGTGTTGGCTTGAGCTGGGTAATGGGTAGGTAGAGCAAACCCAAGCCTCCTGTGAGAATCACAGTCAGGTCATCAGCTGGTAGCCTCTGACAAGTGATTTATTCTGTCCTGAGTTAGTGATCTTGATTTTGCATTAGACTTGGTCAGTGTCACCTGGCTCTTACAGGTGTTTTTGTGGGTGAAGGATGAAGATGATCAGGTTGTCTTCATTGGTAAACTCTTGAAGGTAGGGACTGGGTCTTCACTTTTTTTCAAAGCCTCCAAGTACTGAGCACACAGCCGTGCTTCCACTCAAGCATTCAGTTATGTATTGAATGTTTGCCATATGTCACATTCTGGGCATGTAAAGATGAGGAATACAGACATGATCCTCTGTCATCAAGAGGAAGAGAGGCTGGGTGTGGTGCTCACACCTGTAATCTCAGCACTTTGAGAGGCTGAGGTGGGAAGATTGCTGAATCCCAGGAGTTTGAGACCAACCTGAGACCTTGTGTTTAAAAAAAAGAGGAAGACAGACAATTCAACAGGCTTTAGAAATACTTGTGAGAGGTACTGCAGCATTTTAGGGTGCTGAAAAAGCAAAAGGACCCAAAGAACATCCCCAGAAGAACTGACATTGAACCCATAACTTGACACATAAGCAGGAAATGCCTGGCCGAGGGAAAGCTGAGGTGTGAAGGGATATGAAGAGGAAATAGCATGTACAAAGATGTAGAGGAAGGAGTGCTTGGTGCTTTTAAAGAAAGTGTAAGAATTGCAGTAGAACTGGATCAAAGCATGTGAGGGGTGGAATTGTAAGAGAAGATCTAGAGAATTAGAAAATAAAGGGACTTATATCCCATATTAAGTTTTGATGTTAGCCAGGGTGGTAAGGAGCCATTGAAGGCTTTCCTTTTTTTTTTTTTTTCACTCTGTCGCCCAGGCTGGAGTGCAATAGCGTGGTCTCAGCTCACTGCAACCTCTGCCTCCTGGGTTCAAATGATTCTCCTGCCTCAGCCTCCCAGGTAGCTGTGACTACAGGCATGTGCCACCACACCCAGCTAATTTTTGTATTTTTAGTAGAGATGGAGTTTCACTATGTTGGCCAGGTTGGTCTCGAACTCCTGACCTCATGATCTGCCCACCTCAGCCACGATTACAGGTGTGAGCCACTGCACCCGGCCCATTGAAGGCTTTTAAGCAAGCGAGAGATGTAATCATCTTTGCATTTTAACTGGATCTCTTTGTGTGTGATGTGAAGAAGCCACAGGAGCAGGGAACGCCTGGAGCCTGGCTTCTTCAATAGGGAATGTTGAAGTAGCCCTAGTAAGAGATGATGGTGGTCTGGACTGGGTAACAGGATAGAGGGAGTGGGCAGATCCCACTAACTTTCAGAGGTAGAGCTAATAGGACACTGATGAGTTAGATATGGGGTCTCAGTGAGCAGGAGGCCTCCGGTTTCAGGCCTGGATGGAAGGTGGTGCCGTTGCCTTTCACTAAGTCAGAGAATACTAGAGGAGGAAGTTTAGGAAGGAGATGTGGCTTTGATTTTGGCCATATGAATTAGAGATGCTCGTTGGCCATCTATGCGGAGATTCTTGGCAGATCTGGAAACAGGAATTGCTGGAGAGAGCTGGCCACCGTGTGCTTCCTTAGCCCTGACTACTGAGGCTTTGGAAGGATGCCATTGCCTGAGAAAGTTTATAGCTCAGGTTGGTCCAATTTCTAGGTCTGTACAGACCTCAGGTCTTTCCTCTGTCTTTCATCTCTCTGGCCTCAGGCTTCTTCAGTCACTTAGCATCCCTCCCCTTTACAGCTGGAAATGCCTCCTCCCGGGCATTCCAAGCTGACCAGACAAACATAATGTCCAGGCCGTGGTCCATCTTAGGCCACACCTGGTTTAGTAAGTGGGGCAAAAAAGCAGAGAGGCCTGCAGCTGGCAGTGGCGATAGGTCCCTGAGAGCCAGCACGTAGCCTCCTTGACCACTGTGTGCTCTGTGTGGTACATGGGTGTGTGGCCCTGTCACCCTGCCCAGGTGCAGGTAAGTAGGAGAGAGACAAAGGCTGGGAGGAATTTCTTGTTTGCCTTTCACATGTTGAATTGAGGGGTGAGAGGAGGAATGTTTTTGGTGATGGTGGGTTATTTTCAGAGACAGATCAGAAATAATTTTCTTTCTTTCTTTTTTTTTGAGATGGAGCCTTGCTCTATTGCCCAGGCTGGAGTGCAGTGGCGTGATCTTGGCTCACTTCAACCTCCACCTCCTGGGTTCAAGCAATTCTCTGCCTCACCCTTCTGAGTAGCTGGGATTACTGGCACCTGCCACCATGCCCGGCTAATTTTTGTATTTTTAGCAGAGACAGGGTTTCACCATCTTGGCCATGCTGGTCTTGAACTACTGATCTTGTGATCCACCCGCCTCAGCCTCCCAAAGTGCTGGGATTACAGGCATGAGCCACCATGCTTGGCCTAGGAAGAATTTTCTTAGAGCTGTTCCCAAACTTGGCTGATGATCAGAGTCAGTTAAAAAGATATATATATATATAGGTCGGGTGCAGTGGCTCACGCCTGTAATCTCAGCACTTTGGGAGGCCAAGGCAGGAGGATTACTTGAGGCCAGGAGTTCGAGACCAGCCTGGGCAACAAAGTGAGACTCCATCTCTATCAAA